CACCGATCGCGGACTTGCCCCGGCTGTTTTACTGTTTGTTTCCCCCTCCGACCTCTCCCCCCTACCACTCCCGACCGCCGCCATTTCATATGACTCATGGGGAACAGCCGCGCCTCCCCTCACTATTATATTTGTATATTATTATATTTGTAGCCAGCCGGCCGCGCGCCGATGTTTCATTCATGAGCCGCCTGCCTCCTCTCTTGCTCCGCCCCGCTCTCCCACCACTCCCTCTCCCTCTCCCTCTCCCTCTCCCTCCCCTCCCCTCCCCTCCCACCACCCGCCGCGCGAGGGGGCCCCTGGCGGGTGGGCCACCTGAGCAGAGACGGCGCGCCAGTGTTGCGGGTTTGCCTACCCGCCCGTCTGCAGGCGCCATGGAGAGGGAGTCGATGCCTTATTCTTGAAACGGCAAAGTCGTCGTCTCGGATGGTAGAGGAGCTGGACGGACGACATGCCTTTACGTTCCTCTGATTGAGAAGCGGAGGCGACTACCCGCCGTCACCATCGTGTGTTCGCGTTATAAAAAGAAACACTTCAGTTTTGGGAAGCTTATTGGGATTAGGCAAATTAGTAAGCCTACACCATATCGCAAGGAACTTTCCACGAGTACGCACCTCTTAGATAACAAGAAATTCCGCTGAATTGTAAATGCAAACATATCTTTCGTAGTTTCTCCTACGCAGTGATCTCCACCGATGACCCCCTTTTTTCATCAGATGGCTGGACGAAAATCCAATCTACCGCACACTGCAGTGTCGAACGATCCGTTCTGTCACCTCACTCCGCGTTTGGTTTCAAAGTGTTCGTGCCCCCAAAATCTAAATTAATTCAGTTCTTTTTTTCTCTTTGTACAGGTATGTCCGGGTGCGCGCAGACCACTCCCGCCGTGCAAAGGTAAATATTCAACGCCTACTAATTAAACCACTGTATTACGCCCCCACAGAGAAGTGTATTTTTTTAATACCGGTGTTGGTCTATTCGCTTGTGAAAAGAAACACACAGTTTTATCGCCGACACGGGTTTTGTAATGTAAAACGGAACTGTAGCACTTCAAATGACCCAAAAATAAAGTACATGGGATTAAGACGATAACGTGATGATGCCACCGCACGGCGGCCTCGCGGGGCATAGCGTACGGACTGCGCTTGTGACGTCACCGAGCGCAACGCGCGCGTCACGCGCGTGAACGACATCGCGCGACTTTACGCGTGACGTCATACGTTACGCGCCACGTCACGTCGCAGTCGGACGTCATCAGTTTTGTCTGCATGTATTTATAACGCAAGTAACGGACATTCCGAAGGCGGGGCTCAATTCTTTGACGAAGAGAAATAAGAGAAAAAGGGGGTGAACGCGATAAAAGCGGAAAGCTGACGCACGGTGCGAAGGTCAGGGTGGTGAGGGGGGGGACGGCTTGAGTAAGACTTCATTTACCTCGGGAAAGCCGTGGCTGGCCGGGTCAGCAGTCGAAATGTAGTTTTTCCGAGTGTTTTTTTTTTCTGGTTCATTTTCGTCCCTTCTCTTCCACGACGTTGCCTTTCTTTATGGAAATTGCTTTCCTCCCGGCAATTTCCGGGGTGGTAGACCGTCCCGGCCGGCGACGCTCCTCACTAGCCGGGTTGCCCATACCGGCCCGAGCGCCTGCGTAGGCCAGCCCGCGGCGCACTCTAGCTCGACGGGCTTGCCTACCTCCACGGCGCTCTCGCACCCCGCCGCCTCCACACCTCCACCTCGTTTCTTCACCCCTACGCCACACGGAGGACTGAGGGCGCCAAAAGAAAAATCTCCTCGCCTTCGCCGCGCCGCCGTCAAAGTTGCCCCGAGCATCGAGGAAGGGATGCTGTGCCGGGGCGGGCGCGCGCGCGCGCATCGCCCCGAGGAGCAGTTAGTTCTGGAGGAGCGAGGGGGGCGGAGCGGAGCGTAGCAGCCGCACTGCCTTGGCGCGTTTGCGCGTCGCCTCCCAAAACTTGGTGGAGAGAGAGGAGATAGCGAGGAGCGTCGGCGGCGACAGCACACTGTGAGATCTGTGCTGCGGCCGGCCCTGTGCTTTGCATTTAGAATGTTGGCGTGGTGCAAAATTTGATTCGACGGCCCTGCTGAAAATACAGTTATTCTTGTCATTAAAGTTTGTTGTGCACGGACGAGATTTCCTGTTTAATCCCGAAAGTTACACGACACGTCTTGAATACATGCTTCATTCGTTGTTGTTTTAAATATTTCAAACGATGTTGTCCTTGAAAGGTCCATTCTTCTGTCTCCTTTGTATTTTTCGAATAATATCTTAGAATATTAGTATGATACATCAACAAAATACCAAAATACGTATAGCTTTTTTCAGTGGAATTTCTTCCATAACGCACACAATTTTTGCAAGCAAAATTATAGTGAGTTTTTTTTTTCTTGAATGTGGAAGGTAGGGTGTTTTTTTCCTGTCCCGCCGGCACCGCTCGTGTTCTTAAAGAGGGTGCAGCAGGCGGGGGCGCCCACTCGCCACTCGCCTGCCTCTCACCCTCTCCCCCCACCCCCCTATATGGCTTTGGAACAGTATGTTTTGTAACTTTACAACTCCAAGTGGTGAGGGGCCGGCCGAGGGGGCGGGCGGCAGCGGTAGGAGGGGTTGTCTCTTCCTGCCGGTTAGCAGGAGCCCGTTGGGCGAGCGGGACACGAGAAGCAGGGCTGTGAGACGCGAGACGGGAGGGGGGGAGGAGGGGGGAGAAGGGGGCTCCGCCAAACTCATATAGCCCCGCTGGACATATTACCGTGAGGCCTGGTCCCTTCCGCCCCGAAACCGTCCCTCCCTCCCGACCCTTCCACACCTCTCTCCGTCTCCCTCTGCCTCTCTCATTTCCTTCTCCCCCCGTTCCCAGCCCACCGCACTATCTCTCTCTCCCTCGCTCCCTTCCTCTCACCACCAAAGTTTGTTTGAGGTCCCTTCATGACCTGCAATGCTACACAGCTACCATCGCCACGACCACCGCCGCAACAGCGCCTATGCGAAATTTTCGCAGTGAAGGATAATAACCTGGCCGTTCTCCGCGTTGGATAGTAAACTTTGTATCCATACCCACCCAGGGTTGGGCTGGGCCGGGCTGGGCCGGGCTGGGCTGGGCTGGGCTGGGCCGGGCTGGGCTGGGCTGGGCTGGGCTGGGCTGGGCTGGGCTGGGCTGGGCTGGGCTGGGCTCTTCCCCTTTGCTTGCCCCTTACCCTCTCCCACTCTAACGGCCTGTGAAATCGCCAGACCGTGGCGACTGTGTTCCCCTTCCCCAGCCCTTTCCCGCCCTTTCGCCGCTGAGGGCTACTTCCCTTGTAGCCACCACCTCCCGACGCCCCTCCCCCCTCCCCCATCCCTCTCGCCCAGAGTGGCGACAGTTCCCCCCTACTCGTCGTGGTCACCCTCGGCCCCGCCCGCCCCCGCCCGCGCGTGCAGACCGGGGCCATGTGGTTCTTCTGCAACATAAAATCTGGCGAAGAGAGACGCAGAGGGAGTGAGTTATTTCGGATAGCGATGCGAATTAGAACGATGTCAGGCTCGTTAATCCGGGGAGCGCCAGCCTCCTGGAAAACAGATGAGCCTGGGAACTGAATTATGTGCAGCCATCCCTGCTCACCCCTTCCCCCTCCCGCAGCTAGTCTGACCCTATCGCCGAAACAAAAATAATTATGATTGCTTGGCTGTCAGAGACAAATTTTCATTATATATAGCCGCTTCTAAAAGGGGTCGGTTCTTCCCCTAAGTGATGCGCAAATTCCCTGTTGTATCCGGGCTCAGCTCGTTTCTTTCTCTTTTTCGCCCGAAAATGGAGTTCCCTCTCTAGTCCAGGCGTCGACGGAGCCGACAGGCCGCCCTCGCCATGTCGGCGTCTGGGCCGGAAGGGATGGCGTCGGCCAAGGGCGGGGCGGGGCGAGGCGGGGCCAGCTGGGAGGCGACCCGCACAAAGAGGGGCCCCGTCCAGAGCGCGCCAGCAGCGGGCCGCCGCGTCTCTGGAAAAGTTATCTCGGCGACAAGAGGAGAGAAAGCTGAAGGCGAAAATTCGATTTGAAATGGAGCAAGTGGAAAGCAGCATCTGCAGCAGCACGAAAGGAACAAAACGAGGTTGTCGGGGTGCAGGTCATGGGCACGGGCACTACGCGGAGCTGTGACGTGACTCTCCGCCGAGCTCGTGCGGGGCTCCCGGGGCGTCACTGGTATTTCACGACGTGGACCTTCTTGTCCTCCGAGCGACCGTGCAACCACCCTCCCCGTTGAGGTGGATCCGGCGTTTCGGCCCTAAAGCGAGACACGGACAGGCACGCTCACAGAGGAGCCGCTAGTGCGCACGCACTCACACGCACACGCGCCACCGCCGGCAGCCGGGCGCCAGATGTCTGCCGGGGGGTGGAGCGGGCGCGCTGGCCTCCCCTGCCCCACCCGCTACACCCACCCCGGGGAGGGAGTGGGAGGAGGGGGCCTTGGTCTGGGGCACCTCCGAAGGTCCAGCACTTCCCCCGCCCGCGCGCCG